GCTCCTTCATATGGCCAATGTTGGAGTTCGCGTCAAAAGGCTCAAATGGCTAGCGACTAAGTCTTTTGTTACTATTGAAAAAAAAAAAAAAAAAAAAAAAAAAAAATAGAAAAACGAAAAAAAAAAAAGTGAAGGTTGTGTTAGTGTGTAATAAAAATCAGCTTGCCGAATTATGGATTTAATGTTGAGATTTTGGTTAATAGTTGGACCATTTGCTGATAAATGTGAGCAACCATTCCTTTTTCTTAGATTAGTTTGCTTTAAATTGGAGGAGTTGGTAGTTCAGATGCTAACCGGGGTGATTTTTCTTGGATCTTGACCTGTGTCGCTTGATATATGATTTTCTCGGTGTCCTGGCAATATGGTAGTTGGAGTAACAGCCATGGTCAAATTTTGGTATTCAATTGTTGTTCCCATGCTTGAGGGCAAGCATGATTTAGGTGCGGGGGGAATTGATAGGGTGTTAATTGTTAGTAATTTTATTGTTAATTTCCCCTTTTATTCTTGCCAAATATTGTTTTAATTATTAATATTTACTTATATTTGGTATTGGGGTTTAATTTCAGGAACAAAGCAGAAAATTACCAAAAAGGAGGGACTTTTATGGGAAAATGGAGACTTCTAAGGACCTTGGACTCTTGAATTGGTGGGGACCACAAGCTAGTGCAAGGCATTTAGTCATGTGGGCTTTTCAAAGAAAGTTACGTAAGAGACTTGGAGCAAGAAGTACTTTGGAGGTTTTGTCCACATGTGCGGGGACCACGGATAAGAAGCATGAGTCATTTGGACTCTAGGAAAAGAAACGTACAAGACTTTGAATTTGGTGTGGGGACCACTAGAGATAGCATTAGACTTCCTTTTGGCTTTAAAAAGGGAGAAACGTACGAGAGATGGGGAATCAATAGTTCTTAGTTTAGTTTTAGTTTTCTTTTCTGGGCTCTTTCGCATGGTTGTTCTCCATTAATGGAGAACTAACCTCTTAATTCTAGTCAAGGGGACAACTGAAGATTTGGTTCAACAATTACTGTGAGATCGAATTTATTTTAATTGTTTCCTCCATTTATTGGTATTCATATGTTTCCTGCTTTTAACTGTTATAGCTCTTGTGTATGATTGATTAGTGCGCAATAATTAATTATTCATATGGACTATTTTGCTAAATAGGGGTAATTGAATCCGTAATTGTTCGTTATCTCTACCTTATTTTCTTACTTTTTAAAATTGAGTTTTCTAGCTCCCTCTCCTTCTACTTTTATTTTCTTGATGTTAATAAGAGTGAAAAAAAAATAACGGAAAAACTGTTTTGCTTTTATTTTCTTTGTACATTTAGAGTGGAAAAAAGAGAGGAGAATAGCCGTTTCAATCTTTTATTATTTTTACTTATATATGAGAGAAGGGTATTTCCTTCACAAAAATTTCAACGCGCTAAGTTTAACTGTGTAATAAAATGCATAATGCTTGGGAATAAATCGGCTTAGGGGTGCAGATAAAGTAATGAAAAAAATAACATTGGGGTAAAGTGAAAATAGTACTATGGGGATAAAGTAATAATAATTCAGATAAATGATTAAAGTTTTGGTAGAAGTGGACCGGAAGTAGACAACAATTTCCCATGTAAGGCGGTGGCTTCTAATTCATTACTCCAATAATTTGTCTCCGCGGATAAATTTTGGTTTTCGTTTAATATTTAAAAGTCGCCTTTATATGATTTGCTATAAGTAATAAAACTTGAGTGTACAAGATGGTTAAACAATTAAGGTGGGATTTAAAATGGGCTTCTTTGTACTTAAAATATAGGCTTGATTGCAAAGTGCACCCTTAAACTATTACCGGTTTGTACATTGCACCCCTAACTATGAACTGTAGCAATATACTACCTTTATCTTTGAATTTTTAGCACATTACTCAATTATCATTAATTTGGTGGGATACAGGTTAGTGAAAAGACTTCAACAACCTTGCAAAATATACGGTGCCAAATTTGATCTTTTACTACTCCTACAATTGCGGCCACAATCATATTTACAACTAATTAATGGCAACAAGCAATTTTAGAAGGTCACATGCAAGGATTTTATTTTCTCTTCTTATCTACTATTTTTCCATTTTTTTCACAGCAAAAGCAAGGAAAAATCTCTTCACCTATGCTTTTGTCTTGGTAATTAGAATGTTTAATCTCTTATTTACTAATACAAAATTAGTTTCCATCAAATTCCACTTCAGATTCCCTATCAGCAATATAGATCAAAACTAATTATCACCAAACTCATAACCACAGCAAACACATGGCAAACCAACCAAATTAGAAAAACCAAAACAAGCCACCAAGATAAACCCATCATTAATGAAACCAAAACCATAGACCTAAAAACAACTCGTACCCTAATTCATTTGGATGGAGGAATTGAGATAATAGATAGGCGTTATCTTTGAGATTAGGATAGAAAGACGAAGGTTAGTGGGGTTTTAGAGGAACTGCAATTGATTCATATGTTTTACAAGAGTGGAAAGGAGAATTCGAGACCTGCTTGAGAACAAAGAATCAGAGGGGTGAGGGAGTTTAAAAAATGGATAAGGGATTTGTTTGAGGACAAATAATCAGTGAAGAAAAGGAAATGGAAATGGATTGGGGTTGTTCCAGAGATTAGAGAGTGGAGTGTATCCCATATGGAGAGGCAAAAGAATGTGAGCATAGGAAATGGTCACCATAGGGATTTTGGTTACTCAGAATGGGGCAAAATAGTCATCAAAGTTTTTTCTTGACTTATTTATAATCGATTGAGGTAAGGTGCTAAAAATAAATAGATGAAGGTATTATAGTGCTACAATTCATAGTTTAAGATGCAACCTATAATCCAAAGATAGTTTGAGGGTGCATTTTGTTATTAACCCTAAAATATATGGAACTGGGCAAAGAATTGGGTTGGATGGCAAGATAGCACAAAATAAGAGGTGTATCTGGTGCTATTTTGTATAAAAAAAAAGATTTAAATTTATGATGCTAAATATGTATCTGTAACGCTAAAATATGCAATTAATGGATATTGATAATGTTAGAATTTTGTAATAGGCTCATTCTCTCTTTTTGGTTGATTATCCTGTGCCCTTTGGGGCAAAAAATAGGAAGCGTCAAATTAAAATAACATAAAAAGCAAGTATAGTCAAGATCTGGAATTGGTCGATGAAATGGCTGGTGCCTGGTGTCATCTTGATATGATTTGTTTATCATATATACACGCTTTCTCAATCTGACAAGCTAAGATACACCATTTCACTAACAAATAAGAAGAAAATTTAATCCCCTTGATATATGTGTGTGTATATATATATATCAAGTCAGCTGCTTAGAAGATCTTAGTGATTATTTTATAGACATATAATTGCATTTATTTTTTCTTAAAAAGTAGTATTCAATAATGTCGTGTATTTGCTACATATGTGAAGAACTTGATTTTCGACGAATGGCAATAACTTTGGTCATGCGGCGTAGCCAAGAACTCGTTTTGATTGAATTTTTTAGGAGTTTTTGGAAATTTTTTTATAAAAATAATTATACTATAATATTTTTTGAAATATGGTATATCAGTTAAAAAATAGTTGAAAAATGTGTCCAGAGAGTGTTTAAATAAAGGTAAGATATTTAGACTAAGATTCAAGCGCCAATTTTCTTACATATTCTTCCAGTTCTGTTTCTTTTAACTTAGGAATGGAATAAATACCCAAATAATTAAAGTATTGGGTAAAAAACAAAAAGTCTCTTGTGGTAAATCTAATATACAGAAAACCCCCTATAGTTTCAAAATGTATAAAACGATACCTTACGCTTTGAATTAAATTGTAAAGGTGACAGAATCCGTTAAAATTAACGAAAATGACTTATTGGAACCTAAAAAATTTTTTTTATGCCTAATTTTTAACAAATATACCTACTCTACCCTTAGCCCCCAATTATCTCTCTCCAAAGAATGAAACAAATGATTTTGTTGAGCTATCCTTTGCTTAGTTATATCAGGGCATTTTTATCATTTCATCTATCCCCGTTAAGTTTAACAGATTCCATCATCTTTACAATTTAGTTCAAAATATGAGGTATCGTTTTATACGTTTTGAAACTATCTGGAGTTTTTCTGTATATTAGATTTATCACAGGGGATTTTTTTTATTTTTTATTTGTTGCATCGATGAAATGTTATTTGCACTCTATATTTTGTTTTTTGCATTCCTACCATTTGTTTTATCATAAGTCTAATAAATGAAAATTATATGATTAAAATAATAGTGGGAGTGTAATTAACAAAAATTAAAGTGTGAATAACATTTCTCCAAGTTTTTTGTTTAAAAATAAATATTGAAAAGACTTGTATTTTCCAAAACAATTTTGATTCCAAAAATCCAAAATTATACAAATGGTGCCCAAACAAAAATTCCAAAACTATTAATTGCCTAGTACCTTTCTTCTTCTTTTTTTTTTTTTAATCAGATGGCGAAGGTCGAATAAGATCTAGAGAAACATAGAGATACTACGCACCCTTATCAATTTAGAAGAAATCATATATAATGACACGTTGACGAAAGGAAAAGTTTGAATGGTTGACCTTCCGTCGCACCAAAATTTAAAAGTCTTTGGGAGTGGTTTTGGGTTGTTGGTTAATTGCCTGGTACTTTTCGCTTCATAAAAGTACACATAATGCTAAAAAGCTGCTATTACTTTCCAAAATAATTTCTACATAGAAAGCAGGACCGTAGACTTCACACTGCAGCTTCTCTCCGACTGTACCTCTCAACTTTCCATAACTTTGTCTTCAAGAAAACGCCGAAAAAAATGAAAATGAAAACTTTCCAAATTTCTTAGTATTAACTAATCAGCGTAACGGTAGCATATATATATATATATATATATTCTCAGGGCCCAGACATCAGTCTAAATTAGTCCCAAGCTCTTTAGTTCTCAAATCATCAGGTAGTATTAAAACTCCGGATTTTCTTCAATTTTTGCAAGAATGGCAATTTTGAGTTCTCAGAAGAGAGAAGAGATGAGAAGAAATGAAAGTTTTCGCCGACGCCCTCGAAAGAGCAGCAAGCCCTGTAGAGCTAGTACCAATTCTGTTGCAGATCAGTTTCGTTTTTGGCCCTTTTTGGTTGAAAAAACCGAAGCACCAACCCAGAAATCTTGTGTAAATAAGGGCAAGAAAATGATCGGATTAGCACTGCCTAATCTTGATCAAGAACTGCCCTCCAAGAAATCTTGTGGAAAGCTACGTGCTGAAGCTAAAACTAGCCAAGAAAGCCGAAAAATCGAGATCATTTTCAAGAAAAAATTAGTGAAAGCCAAAGCTCAAGTTTTTCCACCTCCATCGCACAACTTCCAACTGACTTCAAGAATTACATGAGCAGGAAACTGGGGCGACGGGGGACCCTGTTTTGGTGATTGAGAAGAGTTTGTTTCCATCAGATGTTTCAGCCAAGCTTCACAGATTGTCGATACCAGTCAAGCAAGTTGCCAATCACGAGTTCTTGACAGAAGAAGAGAGGAAAAGATTCAACAATGGGAACAAACAAGAAAAAATTGATGCCATCTGGTTGAGCCATCACTTTCTGAATCGAAAATCAGGTTCAAGAAATGGTACATCCATGATTCTGGAATGTATATTTTGACTAGTGGTTGGAATGATGTTGTGGAGAGGAATGGATTGAAACAAGGAACATTAGTGCAGCTATGGTCATTCCGGAAAGAATCCCAATTGTACTTTGCTCTGATTAGGCTCTAATTACACGGTTAAAACTTTTGTGTAATTAATTGCAAGCTAATCAATTAAATGAAGTTCTGAAGTTGATTTTCTTTTGTCGTTTTGGAAGTTGGAACTTGGAAGGGTGGAAACTATTACATAGCTATAAATTATATCTTAATTTGCTCAAAAAGATTATTAATAATTTAATTTAATTTTAATTTGTACTTGTTTATAGGGATAATTTCAGTAACCTCCCTTGAGGTTTTTGACAATTTCACTCGGCTCCCCTAGGTTTAAGAAATCACACTTACCTCTCTTGATATAGTAAAATACCTATAATGCCCTTCACTCAATAGGCAATTTTAAATTTAAAATAATAAATTTAAAAATCTAAAAAAAAATCTATTTTGCCGTCTCTTGTCTATTTTCTAGTTTATATAACATCTTTTTATTATTTTCAATTTTGTGGATATTAGCAAATTGAAATTACAAAATCTACAAAGGGACCAGATTATGTGTCAAATTAGAAGGAAATGAAGAGACTCACAATGATAGAAAAATAAATAATGAAATTGATGATTGAAATAGGAAAAATAACTAAAGATGTGGAATTTGTCATATTTTGTTTGTTGTTAAGAAAATTTTTTATAAAATATCAATAATTACATAATGCTTTCTTCCATTGGATTAGAAATTTTTTATTATGATTTTATTGTGAAGGTAGAATTTATAATATTTTGTTTGTTGTTAAGAAAACCTTTTATAAAATGTCAATAATTACATAATGTTTTTTTTCATTGGATTAGAAATTTTTTATTATGATTTTATTGTGGAGGTAGAATTTTTGCTCTATTTTTGAGATATGAATATTTTTAAGGCTATTGGGGATTTATAATGGTGATTCTAGATCAAATTAGTTTGTATTTGAGTATTGATATTTAATTTGGGGTATAACATTAGTTGTCAATAGGATTTTGTGTGTGTATGTGTATTTTGTGGTAAGTATAGATACTGTGTATGTAATTTGGGATCTTTTGGATAGCTATTTGATTTTAGAACTTATATTTGGATGGTTCATAGGGATTTAACTTATTAATATATGTAAAGTGTGAAAGAAAATGATTGAATATATTATATTTTTCTTTCTTAGTTTTGTACAAAAGGACAATTTAGGAATTTTGAAAGAAAATCTAAATTCTTGGACCTGTATTATTATTAAACAGTAAAAGTAGGGGAGGTATATATAATTTTTAAAACCAGAGGACAGCTCTTTGTAATTGTGAGAAACCTCAAGGGAGGTTTGTGAAATTATCCCTTGTTTATATGCTATAGCTGTAGTGGAATGATCAATTCTCGCTGTCAAGCCAACCCAATGGTGGGATTGTGGGGTTCTGCTTTTACTGTTTTTCTTTTTACTTATTTAATTTAAACTTGGGGAGCAAGATTTAGACCTTGCACTGACTAGCCGCGTTGACCAAGAAGGTCTGAATCTTTTGCAGGGTTAAGAAATGCAAGATGACTTATTATAATGGGTCTCGGAGTTTACTTGTATTACATTGTAGCCCCTCAATAGTGTATGTTGAAAAAACACATGATTTATTTTGAGTGCTTTCTTGTATACTAAATTGTAAAATTTTGCCCTGTTATTTTTACTTTCACGGAATGCATGTTTTTGTGCTAAGATTACATTGAACAGGTGCAAAAAAAAAAAAAAGGTATAATTGATGTGATCAAAAAGATTTGAGTAATGTGCAAATTGGATAAATGTTGGAGGTAAATTTTCAATATTAACTGTAAAAGAAATCAATAAATTGGTTGGATAGACTAGTAATGACTTTAATTTCATAAAGGGCCCGTTTGGCAAGTGAGTTTTTTGGATGCTTATCTAAAATTTTACTGTATCTTTCTGTAGATGTTGTAGAAAAAAATTTTGAAGTGTATATCTGGATATTTTGAAGTGTATAGTTTAAAAATTTTGAAAATTTTTTGAGATTACTCTAGCTAAAATTATTAAAAAAACTTGTAGCAGACAAACTTGGCAAAAAACTTGCTTGCTAAACAAGGAAGGCTAGCTAAATTTTTTTATAAAAGTAATATTAATATGACTTTAATTTAATAAAGGCTGGCTAAATTTTTTTTTGGTAAAAGTATTATTAATTTGATAAAGTCTATAAATGCAAGGGTGTAATAACTATGATTTTAGGTCTTTGCATGGCATGTGAAGTAGAAAGCCAAGTAGTAAAATTTGATTATCTCATATTGTTGAATGTTACATTGATGCCCACATTGCACCTTGCCCAAAGATTAAATTATCACCCAGGATAAGATCCATGCGGTAGTTTAATTGGAAGATATTTTGGAGTTTGAGGGTACAATCTTTGTTAATTTTTCTAATATATTATATCTCATTTAGTTTTAGATATGTTGGAATCTATTGTAAGTTTGATGTAATTTATGCCATTAGTATAAAGCGCATAAAATTGGGTGCTCTAACTGGTTTGAATTTTGTAGTTTAATAAAAAAAAAAATAGCTTTTATAGGTTAATTGATTAGCACGTGAGTTATTATTCCTTAATCTTGCTGTTTAAAATTAGGTGCTACTTTATTTTTGCTTTTTAAATTTAATTTAACAGACATATAACTGTACGTGACTCTTATCAATAATTAAACAAACTCTTCAGATATCTTAAATTTGCTTTGAATTAGATACAACAGGGACTAGATTTGTTTTTACCAAAATATCAAGGACTAAAATTGCACAAGTACTAAATAGCCAAAATTACATTTTTCCCCAAATCCTAGTACTTGTAATAAACAATAAACTCCTATTATTTAGCGGCCACTCACGTCCAACACTAAAACAAATTTTATATTTTTACTATTATAATCTAAAGAGATTCAGGGCTTTCAATTTTAAATTTGCTTATGGAATTTATTAAAAAAAAAAAAAAGAGCATAATCCTCAATGATCGGAAACCATTTTTATCAATAAAAAAAATCCCAGCAACCAAAAAAGGAAACTTTCCTAAACATTACTTCCGCAAACTAACACAACGGTAATATGACCTTCCCGAATCCGAATAGAATTCAGGATTAAGAGGTTTCCGGGTTTCAGTTTTAAATTTGCTCTTGGAGAAAATGGAATGAAAAATGGTTACATTTTCTAAATATAGTTCTCAAAATATTAATACGGGCAACAAATTACCTTTAGGCATTGAACATCAAGTACTATTACTAAAATCCCAGAATCCCAGAACCAGAAAGCAAAAAAGGAAACTTCCAAAACTATTACTCCCACAAACTAACATAACGGTAATATGCCCCACCTGAGTCCTAATAGGATTCAGATACCAACTTAAACTATCCAACACAAATAGCTGTATAAATTCTGAATCCTCACATTGCCGCAGAATTTCTTCGTAGGAGTCCTTAAACCTAGTTTTTTTCAACATCAGCAGCAGTTGTTCTTGAGAAGAAGACGAGAGACAGAGATTTCTGATCACTGGGCTTCATCATTCCAGTCCGTTTTAGGTTTTCTTCAATTATTTCTTTTCATTGTTAGTTTTAAGTAATCATTAATAGGAAGAAATCGTAGTTCTAGCATCTAAGTTGGTGGAAGGGAAGATCAAGAAAATTTCCGCCGACGCCCTCGATAGAGCAAGTATCCTCAAAGATCAAAGTTCGATTC